TTTACACTTAGCCTTATTTTCTGGAATTAGTTGAGTAAAAAATGGCCAAACAGGAGATGTTTTTGTCCGTTTGGTAGGTTGTCTAGAAATATTAGGGGCACTAACAGGAGTATCAGACGGGGTATCATTTGGATTAGCAGGGTTATCACTAGTTGGGTTAACATCTGGAGCAGGACTAGTGGGTGTATCATCATCCGGTTGAGTTTCATCAAAATTTATTTCCTCATCATCATTTTCATCAATAGTTGGATTAGAATAAAGAGCATTCATTAATTCATGGTCTAATTGTTCACCAGCTCCAATATTATGGCAAAATTGACTCTCATTAAATTGTAATAAACTATTATCGCTATCAAGAATAGCAGGTGTAGGACGTATATGGGGTTTGATTTGGGGAGCCGGGGTAGTGGAGGAGGAACAGATTGACCACTAGATTCGCCACTCTTGGATTTTCCCTTATTTTTACCAAAAAGTTTTTTTTAAGGAAGCCATCTTAATTAATCAAGTAATAGAAAATAAATAAAACAAACAAAACTATAATATTAAAACTTAAGAGTTGGAACAAGTTTACCGAATTGACGAACAACTTGTTGAAAATTAATTATCGTTGAAAACTTGAAGACTTCAATTCACCAACTTCACAATTTTTTCACAAATTGTAACAATAAAGTAAGCAATAGTAGCAATTATAGAAGAAAATTAGAGAGAGATTGTGATAGATTGATGATTTTGTAAGAAAAATAAAAGAATGAGGGGGTATTTATAGTTGAAAATAGGGAAAAAGTGTAATTATAAAAAGTTTGGGGTTTAAAAAAATTCGGGGGTTTTAATGGCTATTTTGTGACAGCCAACGGCCAGATTTTAAATTCCCCAACGGATAGTTATTTTTTTTTGAAATTTGACCGTTTGGCCCGCCAGGGACCGGTCCCAAACGGTCCCGGTCCTAGCGGTCCCAATCTGTAGAACCAGCCAGAAGCCCGGAACAGGCCCACGAATACCGGTTCTACCGCTCCTGGCCCGTTTGTCCCGCGGTCCCGGTCCCGGACCGGCCCACTTGCCACCCTTACCGTACTCATTTGTTGAAAGCTCTACTAGTGATATACACTTTCAACATTTACCAAACACTAGACAAAGATTCATTTCATGTTGAAAGTGCTAATTTCTCAAGTGCACCCCCAGTGGGACCTAGATTTAGTGTGACCTGCCGATCTACTCTCATTTTTATTGAATAAGTAGATATATATATATTCACCAAAAGTATTAAGTTGCTGGTACTCTTAATTCACCTGTGTGTGCTTTTTTGATTCATAAAATTCACCCTTGTGCATCTATTGCTGTCTGGTTCCTGGTGGTAGATTTCTAGGATCTAATGCATTTGTTTCGGCTTTCCTTGACAGGTCACAACTTGGTTGGAGATGAATAAGATGTTGATGCCCAATGGTCGGCTCATGGTGAATTGTGGTGCTGCTACCAAAGAATGGTCTAATACTTCTTCTGAAATGATCCAACCAGAAATTTCCGAAAAGGATGATCCTAGGGAACTTAACGCAACTATCAACGCATTATGCAAGGCATTTCCTGGGCAGGTAGGGTAATTGAATTCCATTTATCTTCCTTAAAGCAGGACGCACATGAAGGCGCGAAGCTTCATCGAGTTATAGGAGCATCTGGAAGAACCAAAGTTTGTAGCTCTTTATTTTCTCAGTAAAAGCAGTATAAATTTTTGTGGCCGCTCTTGGTTTCCTAGCTGCCTTTTTTGTCATTCTTCTTTTAAAAGGTTACCTAGGGTTATGCAACTATGAAAGCAATACTCTAATCCAGTGAATCATGGAGGCTTTGGAAAGTAATCTCAACCATTTATAATTCAAAAGTGCCTTTATCAAGATATGCAATTTGATAGAGAAATCCTGTTTAGTAATTATGACATACTCTATGTCCTATTTATTTTACACAGTGACTTGACTTACAGATTAAAACATTTTGGTTCACTCGAAAGAAATCAGTAGTGGTAGATGAAAGTTGAGTGAGTTTGTGAAAATAGTATTGTACATATAATTTTCAGAAATTCATCATCAACAACAACAACAAACCCAGTATATTCCCACAAGTGGGGTATGGGGAGGGTGGTGTGTACGCAGACATTACCCCTGCCTAGTGAAGGTAGAGAGGCTGTTTCCAATAGACCCTCGGCTGAAAGAAAATTTTCAGAAATTCATCAAACAGCACACAATATGGGAGTTTGGTCTTCACCAACTGTTACCATTATCTGTGCACCAGATAGATGGTTTCAGGCACCAAACCCCTGTATCTTTGGTCACGCACCAGTCCCATCATAATTAACAATGATCACTTGAAACAGCTGTACTGTCTTCATAAGTTGTCCATCTTTTAGAAGGAATTCTTGACTTTTCAAGTTGATCAAGGTATACCGTATATGGATGCAATGTAATGGTGTACTCTGTAAATGTGTGATAAATGTCTAGAAATGTGCAATTGCGTGGTGCGATATTACTGGGAATGAGCTTAGGAAAAGGCAGGACTGGTGATTCTGCTTAGTTTATGATAGCTCGCTATAGCTTGGCATGAAACCGTTCAGAGGGTTTCAGTGACATTACAATTTCATGGCATATAAATTTTGTTTTTTGCTGTGTGCACATTAAGAATAATCTGGTCTTTTGAATGCCACTATGCATTTTGCTCTCTGTCTTTACCTGCTATGACTAATAGTTTATTATCTGAAATGGCAGGTAAGCTGGAAAAAGTTGCCAAAGAGAGCAGGAGAAAATTTTCTTGCGCTGACAGGACCATTACCAGATTTGGCTATTTGGTCTGCTCGTTTCCCGGATCAATTAAGCTCAAGTGTTAAAGAATGGAGAAGTTGCATGCCTTCGTGATTTTTGACAATGGAACTTGATTAAGCTGTCCTTCGTGCCAATAGAAAAGGTCCTTTGCAGCCCCCCGCCCCATTCCCAATTTTCAGCTAGATTCCAAATTTCCAGTAGGTGGGCTGTTTTAACAAATACTATGTCTTCCCGTATAGGAGTTCCTTTCCAGGTTTTTATTTTCGTGTAAGTGATTGTTTTATCAAAAGGAAAGCAAAGGGATGCAACCTGTATATATTGGCCCACAGGCAACCATCAGACACTACCTAGTCACCCTTAATCCCTCTGTGAGTAGCCTGTTTCTATCTTGATTTGCAGTAGTCTCCGATCTCTTCAGCTCTCCCTTATGCGTATTATTAGTATTACGTGATGATTATTACTGAGAGTCTCAAATCTGCTATAGTTAGGATATACTTTGAGTTGTGACTACGCCATTACCAATCGTGGAACCAGGTGTTCACTCCTCTTGGTAGGCTTCAATCATATAGTTTTCTTTATCAAAGTTTGTGATGGTTTAACACATGAATTGTGCATGCTTAATCCATAGGCAGGCGGTTTTGAAAAATAATTCAGGCAAGATCATTGTTTTTTCAATTTTGGCGGAGAAGAAACTGATGTCTCCTGAAATATAGTCGCAAAAGCGTGTGACATCTCATCTAAAAGTTTAACCTGTTAAAGATATCATATTTTTATTTACTTAATTATATCACTGTTGAATTGGATTCACACTTATGTGGAGTGCACAATTTTGCTACAACTTTGTGTTTATAATGTGATGGCTGCTAATATAAGCATTTTGATGCTTAAACATTATGACAAGATCATAAACAAGTAGCAGCTCAGAAAGCTTCTTATTACCATCACACAGAATTATAACGTAGCAAAGTTTCTCACACAGCAAACCATAAAAAAAGGAAAAAAGGTCGCAGACCACAAGCGAATATCAGCCCCTTCCTCAAGCCATCCACACATAGCGAATGAGGAGAAAGAGTGCCAAATGCAACTGTAAATTGTTTTTGGTAGTGAGACTGGAAGTCACATTTTCCGAGTCCTCCACCTTTATTTTCAAGCACGCAATAGTATAATAAGATAAGCTATTAGAAGTTGGAACAACACCCTTCCTTCAGCAGGCTAGCGGCGGAAGCTCCTAACCTGGCGTGGTGTCTCAGTACTATCATCCCCTCGAAGTTTGACGAGCGTATAAACAGCTGCCCCTGCAAGAGCCCCCAGAGTTGGAGCCACTAAGTATATCCACAATGACTTGTAATTTCCTGCTGCAACGGCTGGTCCCAAAGTTCTTACTGGATTCATGGAAGCACCACTTGATGGCCTGCTTATTCCAACATTTCAAAAACCAAAAAAAAAAAAAAAAAAAAAAAAAAAAAAAAAAAAAAAAGAGTTACTGGTTTGGCAAAGTCTTAGTTAAAAGCCTAGCTGAGAATTCTTTTCTCGCTGTGCTAGGCATGAAAAACACAATTGGAATGAGAGCATTTAGCTCTCTACTTACTGTTTACTTCTTTACGGTTGGTTCTGTGCAACAGTTTTGTAAGTGAGGAAAGGGCATCAGAATGAAGTTTCTTCCTTAATGCAAGAGCTGATACGGTAATACCCCCAGAGGTTTAATTTGTTTGGTAGCTAACCCAAATATTAGTACTAACACGTACTATTGTAGGATTTTTGGATTCTGGGAGGAAAAGATTTAGCAGATAGATTTAAGTAAACTGTAAAAGCTAAATACTTAGGTGTTGTGAGTATGGCACTGTTTTAGCTAGGGAAGAAAATGGCGTTGCAAAATGCTTTGGCCAAATTTGCAAGTCCCACTTGCAACTAAACTGTATTACACAGTCCAGAACCTTCCTAGAGAAGCTAATGGTCCTCTCATGATGGATAAGATGCAGCTCCCAACATTTAGAACTAGGCAGGTCAAGGAAAGGGTTGTACATAATGTTTTGTAAGTTGATCATATTACATCTAACCTGTAGTATTATGGAGAAGTCCTACTTGCGCATTTTTTTGGCCTTCAACTCCTAGTGTACATATAGGAATTAGGAGTTGACACAGTTTGTAATACGGAAGGCAATACTTTAGTCTCTAAGTTAGAATCTAAGACAATTTCTAGGTTAGTTGCTAAAGATAGTTGGCTATATTTTTTAACATAATTGAGCCTGTCCTATTCACACTCAGGATTTGAGGATGTAAGTTGGCATGTGCCCCTCCTTGTCCTTGATCTTTCACTTTTTGGTTATTAAGCACCTCAAACGGGCTTACATAAGAAAGTAATAAATAAATAAATACTTGGGTGTTGAGATATTTACTTACCCCGCCACTAGAATATTGAGCATGACTGTAGCTCCAACTGCAATGCCCGCCAACTCTCCCACCTATTGAATATTAAGATTTGTATCGTTAGAGAAAAGAAAACTAAAGGAATATGTATTTATTGGCATAGGAAGAGGAAGGAAAGAAGAAAAAACAAAATTTTCATGCCATCTTGCCATGGAAGTAATTACCAGATGGATTCTAGGGATTTATTTTTTAATATTAATTTGTGTGAACCTCTAAGTTGAACTCAAAGGAGGTAATAGATCTTTCTAGATTTCGATCGTGTAATTGAACCAATATCAATGATAAATTTTACCTAAGGTAAATTTTTACGCCTCCTTCTCGCTTTGGTCCTCTTCAATAAACTAGACTAGTAGTCTAATATGTATATAAAAGAAAACTAGCTAATCAGAAACAAATGAAGTATATATAACATAATTAACATGCTATCGTCTATCCTTCTTTCTTTCACTGAAAATATATTTTCACTTTTACTTGTCCATTCTAGCAAATTACTTGTCCATTCTAGCAGATGGAGAGAAAGATATTTTTTTTCTCTTATTTTACCCTTATCATTAACTACTTAATTATTCCCCAAATTATTTTCCATGACTTTTTGAAATGCTATCATTATTAGGGGTTATATGGTAAAATGCATACTATAATTATTATTATTTCTCAACGGCTTGAAAAGTCTGAAGTGCGAAGGAAAACTATGTATGATTAATGCTCCCAAGACAAGTTAAGTTGGTCCATACCGCGCGGGTGTCGGTAGCAACAGCAGTGACAACAAAAAGGAGATTGAATGTGATGAGGAATTCGAGAGCAAAAGCCTGGCCAGTGTTTACGGAAGGAACAGTAACGCCACCAGACATGAAAGGATGAAAAACACCCTTGAGAGCAAAAGAAGCACAAACGGATGCTGAAACCTGCGCTGCAACATAGGCCGGCACTTGAACCCACGGAAAGTGACGAAGTGCTGCAAATGCGATGGTGAGCGACGGATTAAGATGTGCTCCAGAAATATGGCCTGTTGACAGAATCACGATCATAACGGCCAGCCCAGCGCAAGCTGCATTTCCTATTAGAGATTCTACGCCGCTGTACTTCTGGTTCACAATTGGCCCAGCTGTTGCAGCAAATATAAGGATAAATGTCCCCACGAACTCTGCTCCCAACTGTATCCACACACAAGTTTCTATGCTTTAGGATATGACAATTAGTTCTATAAATGCAACAAAGTAACAACGAAGGAGTTCTATGTCAGAAATCAGAACTTGCAAGTTCATGAACTACTAGAACAGTGAGCGTCGGTTTATTATCTATTGGCACAACAAAAACTTGCTAAATTTTAAGATTATATTTGTAGCACATTTCATACCCGTGACTCGTGAGAGTGAGCTTGTACGTCCTTCAAGTTTTCCTCGTTTTATTCGCTTATTTTTGTACTTAAATATTACAGAGTCTTTCACCACAAAACGAGTATTGGTAACTAAAAAAAACGAGTCTGGATATGCATTTTTGAGTATAACAAAAGGATATTAATCTGAGTTTAATAAATGTATCTTGTGACATAATCATGCTTGTAATGGTTTATTAAGTACCCATATGATCTACCTAACCCCCAATTTGTCTAACTAAAACTTGATTAATAGCCGGGTATTCTACGTGGACCAAAAATTAAATTAATGAAAATCTAATAGCATAGGCAAAAAATAAATAATCAATATCACCAGAATTTATCTTAAAAAGAGATGCAAATATCTTAAAGAAAAATATAATATGACAACATTCTAGCAATCGAGAGACTGGCAAAAGCTGGTCCAATTGACACAATCTAGCTAGTTATCGCAACCATTGGACCTTGACAAATGAAATGTGAATATGTGATTTTAATAACAGATAGTCATTCTCATGTTATTTATACATTAGTCAATACTTATTTTTGTTATGAAATCGTAAACTAAAAATCTTAACTTAAATATAATTCAAGATATTTTTGTCCCAAAAATTTAAGGAATCTTTACACAAATAGCCGGCAACATTTATTATTTATTTTTTCTAGCCATATATATAAATTATACACTGATTATACATAATTATACATGTATAATACAAACATTATGCACATATTATACTTTTATTGACTATTTTTAATTTAGTTGATTGGGTGGACGGCTATTTGGTTAATTCTTCAAAATTTAACTACTAATTATAATCCCTTTAGAGTTACTATCTAGCATGATTTCTACTATTTTTATCCAATGCAAATTAATAGTTGAGAACGTGTGTACCTTGCGGGTGAGGGAGACGTCTGGTGCAGGGAAGTCAGAAAGACACGTGTGAGGGGTGCCCCATGTTGGAGCATCCAAAGGCAAGCACTTGCATCGGGGCATTGACTTTCGATCATAATTAGACTCCATTGAGTCCACTCGAATCGACGAGAATAGCGGCGTTGGTGTCCCCGGCGTTGCCGGCGCCGATACTGGTGATTCAAATTCCGGCATCTCCGATAGTTTTCCTTTGTTTTTTTTTTGTTTTTTGTTTTATTAGATGAGCTAGGTTTCTTTCAAAGGAGAAGTAATTACATGATTTTTTGGCTTTTTTAAATGTTTAGCTACACGATATTCAGTTTAACGGCCAGATCGTTTGATCCTCAGAATAATCAGAATCCGGCAGGAAACATAACAAATGGAAAAAAAAAGATTTTTTTTTAATTTTTTTGGTGGAAAGGAGAAGCTAGGAGAACTAAAGTTACATGCTTTAGAGGTTTTTTATAATTGTGCGACTAAGGATTACAAGAACTGAAGCTATCCAGCTTGACTATATATGCACTAATTAAGATGATGGCGAAACCTTGAGCATATATAGGATCTGAATTACAGTACAGAACAACAACTCAGACTGCTTAATGAATGAATTGAAGAGGATCCAGCTTCAGAGAGTAACAGACAAAAAAGAAGAAGAAGAAGAAGAAGAAGAAGAAGAAGAAGAAGAAGAAACAGATTAACGAAACAGCGGAAACAAGAAACAGAAATGATTTTAGGCAAGGACGGGCAGTGGGCTATATGTTTTGGGTATGGCATATGTAATTATATACACACACTGCTTAGCTATAAAGTAAATAAATTACTCCTCGAATAGTAAATGGAAGCCGACAATCTTATGAGAGAGACGAGAAGAGAGAGAGAAAAGTCAATGCTTACATTGCTAAACTGACAGGGCGCTTGATAAAATAACTATAACAGCAAAGACTACCAACACTCTCTCTTTATTATTATCCTTTTTTTTCTTTTCTTTTTGCACAAAACTCTCCCTTCTTATTTGATTTTACGAGCTACTACTAGTAGTTGAATAGATGAGATATGGTATACCAATTGTTGTGGCAAGGGGATGGATAAAAAAATAATTATCTATTCATATTATTCATTAACAAATGCGTTGGATAATAAATTTATTAAAAATTAGTCAAATATGGATAAAATTCATATTATCTACTTAAAAAATATATGACAAATAGATTTAACTTTTATAGGTGAAAAGATTCAAATTAGGGTTCCTTGAAAAATTAAAAATTCTTCCAAAAATGATCATATAAAAAAGTTATAGATAATATGAATATTTATATTATCCATTATTTAACTAATTTTCTATCCGTATTGAATATTAGTTGGATCGAATAGATTATCTATTTTTACATTATTTAGTTTTTACTAACCTATATCCGACGTGATCCGTCCATTTAACATCTCTGCCCTACTGTTAGTCTGTTACCTGCACGACTAATTATTCTCATACGGTAATAATTTATCGTAGAAAAAAAGGGAGATAACAAGTTCATCGGTGATCGTAACCGCCAGTGACGCACTGACAATTTCAATTTTCCTTATTTTAATAATTCTACCTTCTACCAATAATGCATTAAACAAAGCACGCGCCATTGGAGAGAGAAGTTCAACCCACCCAGCAAAGAGCAAAAAGAAAAATAAAGTTAGAGAGAGAAGGTATATATTAACTGCAAAGAACTTGGTGCTATTATATGCATTATTATTATTGTTCGCCAGTCAAAATACTAATGAATCATTAGGAGTCCAATAAGTCCAGTAGATATGAACTCTTTTTCATTCTTAATTTTAAGTTTATAAAGATTTAATTTGTCACTAATATAAAGAAATTCAGTAGTGGAGTTTCTTGTACTCGATGCATGTATGACACGTCTAATGTCATCACATGTGAACTATACTGAAGTATGTATCTTTAAAATGTGAAAATGAAAATTTTGAACATGGCTCAACTATTTTGCTACTCTGGCTCAAGTTGGTTAATATAAAAAATAATATTGGGTAAATTTCACAAATAATCATGTAACTATTACTTTTTTTCATCAAAGTCATATAATTTTGTTTTCTCACACAAAAATCATATAATTATGACTTTTTTCCCCAAATCATATAACTTTGTTTTCTCACACAAAAATCATAAAACTTTCATTAATTCACACAAAAATCATAGGCGATCGGAAAATAAATTTTTCGGTAGTATTTTTTTAATTTACGGTTTTTTTATTTTATATTTTCAGTCTAATAAATAATTACCCAATTAAAATAGAAGAAATATGAGTATATTTTGAACCGCTCCTAAAACTAATAGCCGATAAAATATTATATATGTGTGCGCGCGCGCGCATGTATTATTTACATATAACATACACATTCTCTCTCTCTCTCTCTCTCTCTCTCATATATATATATATATATATATATATATATATATATATATATATATTGGCTAGCAAATACAATTAGTTTCGGCCAGATGGTTAATTTTATATTTGTTTTCCTTAAAATAGGAATGACACAACCCAACCTGTCCCAATACCCATATACGTAAGCTAAAATAATACTAAAAGTGAATTCATTTAGTTCGGAATGCATGAGATTCTGACAAAAAAATAAAGAAATAAAAGGTATAATTAGAGAGCAATTGAAATAAAAATGCTATCAATTTGATTAAAAATCTTGAAAAGAAAAATAAAAGATATATAGAAGTATCATCTTTTGATAGATTTACTATTCACTTTTAGTATTATTTTAATTTATATGTATGAGTATTGGGTCGGATGGGCCAGGTCACGCTGAGCTCATTCCTATTTTAATTGGATTATTATATATTAGACTGAAAATAAAAAATAAAAATTACAAAATAAGAAAATACTACTAAAATTTTATATTTTTCGATCACTATGATTTTTGTGTGAGTTAGTAAAAGTTTTATGATTTTTGTGTGAGAAAATATAGTTATATGACTTTGATGAAAAAATGACATTGTTATATGATTTTTGTGTGAGAAAACAAAGTTATATAACTTTGGTGAAAAATAATAATTATTATATGATTAGTTGTGAAATTTACTCGGAATGCGTACGGTCATGGGCAAGTAGAAACTGGAGTTATTTTATCAATCCCAATAGCTAATTAAGTATTAAAAAAATAAGTTTGTGTCCAATAACTTAAAGATACTCAGGAAGTTGTTTAACAATCAATAATTGTTAGTAACATAAATAATTAGTTGGAGGTAAATGTAGAGATAAATGGCTAAAAAAAGAATAAGACAATCTAGAGTCCTATAAGATAGTATTTCAGAGTTTGAAGGGGCCGGGCCAAACTTATTTGTTTTATTTTCATCAGCCTAATAATTTCCCTATTCCTTTCACTCTTTTAGTTTTGTTGACTACAATAATGTTTCCTTCCCTATTTTTCATGTTTCTTTTCAGCTTTAGTGGGTCAAGCGTGTTAGAGTCACCAATATATCGAGAGGAGAAGGGGAAAAAATGAAAAAGAAGTAGAAACATCAATACTATACTATTTTTTAACTCCTTTCTGGATATTCTATAGCTTAATAATCATGCGTCATCGTGTGGGCTTCTTAAGGAATCTCCTTCGGTGGCATTGCACCAAATGACCAAAACTTGCTCCTAATCCTCCACTGCTCAACATTAATTAAAAAAAAACTCGCAATACAAAAGCGAAAATATATTCAAATCTGTATTTACATCAAATTAATAAATACAAGATACACTTATTTATACCACTTAATCATAATTAAGTGATATGAGATAATTTTACATTATTATAACCCATGGTAATAATTAATCACACTCCCCCCAACAAAAAGAAAAAGTGACAAAAATCCTTCGGGGGCAGGTTGCATGTACTCGTCTCTATAAAATGGAAGGGTGATGGATTAGGGCATAGATGGAATTGGTGATCCAATATAAGTAGGAGTAATACTTTTGACAGAGCATACCCAACTCTTAAATCTATAAGAAATTTAAAGTGATTCTCTGACTCGTTGCTAAAACATGCCTGGATTTTTATACTATATAGTTGTGCGATGCCAAAACGCATCTCTGTAATTAGGTGTGGCATTTATGAAATGGAAACTAGAATACTTTTCAAACAGAATATCTCGTCAGCTGCATCCCCTCAAGTAGACAGAAAATAGAATAAAGATGTGGAATCCATGAAACTTCACATGAATGCATGCACTGATCAACTTAACGTCAGAAGTGAGCTCGAGCTTGGTAACATATTCTAATTAACTTTGTAAATCCTCAAGAAGCGTGGGATACCGGCAACGTCTTTACCTTTTTATGATCCCAATTTCAAATTAAAACCTTAGATTTAATATCTACATGCAAGATTTTTTATAAGTGGTGTCAATATTTATAGAACATAAAAAAATAAATAATAGTACTAATTATCACATTACCTAACAAGAAATAATCTTAGTCCAGTTATTTTGTTGAGTCTTAAGTTAAAAGAAGGCGTGAGTTCAATTCTATCTATTTCAATTCTATCTATTTACAATTTTTAACAATAGAAGCTCTCTCAAAATTAGTAACTTAACTAGTGTGCCAAGCAACAATATATGTCAACCGGTGTTATTTCCTTCATCTTATTATTTCCGTATAATATTACTAAAAAATTTCAACTAATCGCTTTGTTCCACGTGCATCCGTCCTGATTAGTTGTATTACTGTTTGCTTGGATATGAATTCTACTATACTTTAATTAATGAATGGCCTTTACATATGATTCTCCCACTAACTCAGTTGGACTAACAGTCTGCTACCTGTATAGCTGGACAAAGAATACTTGGCAACCATGTTCGCAACCCATAGGCATCAGCGTCATTTCTTCTGGATTAGGAGTAACCCCTGATCTGCTGCACAATGCTAAAGGCGCGTAATACCATAATATTAATACTCCCTCCGTTCATTTTTACTTGACATGTTTTGACTTTTCGCACCCCTTAAAAAATAATAAATAAAGTGTATAATTTATCATAATACTCATATTAATTGATGCATATTTTATTGGATTTGAGAAAATAATTTAAAATGAGTAATAAATACTGTGAGTATAACAGGAAAAAAAATTGTCTTTCCTTGATATGCGTAAATTGATAAGTAAATATAAAAATTTATTTTTAGCATACATGTCAAATAAAAGTGAACGGAGGGAGTATATATCAAATCTTGAATCCTGCGCTTTCCTTAGTATTTAGTTTGTATACTATATATAGATGGAGTTTTCGTTTATACCAAGAAAAGAACAACGAGTTCCCATGTGCTTTTGCTCCCAGCATACTTCCTAGTAAAGGGCGGAGATAGTGTATTTTTACAGGTTCGGAAGAGTCCAATTATTTTTAATTAGATATTATTTTTGTATTAGAAAATTGATTAATATGTATAAATATTTAATTGTAAATTAAGTAACCAAATGAGTTAAAAGTTCAGTGTAAATTCAGAATTCACAAATTTCAAACTCTGCTTCGTCTCTTGTATATGGTGAAATATGATATGACACGTGGTTATTTAAAGGAAAGATGCACGTGGAACCCAAGACGGGGATGACCGAAGACCCAACGCAATCATTTCACTTGTCACCGGAAGGGATAACGTTCATAAAGGTGTATTAAATACTCTGCGCCCGGTAGCATTTAATAAAAAATATTCTATAGCATTAAGAGCGACGGCCCGTTACAGAGAATTTGGCATTTATGTTCACTATTACATCTTCATCAATGACCCTC